AACCCAAGAAGGGAAGTAGCTAGTGACCACTGCTTTAAAACTGATAATAGAGTGTAAACAGCAAGAAGGGAAGTAGCTAGTGACCACTGCTTTAAAACTGATAATAGAGTGTAAACAACAAGAAGGGAAGTAGCTAGTGACCACTGCTTTAAAACTGATAAACTATAAGAAACAATGTATAACTATTTGCTTCAAAACAGACCAATCCAAACGTAGCTGACAATAGAGAACCTTCTCTCACCTTTTTTTTAGGACCATTCAACCATTGATCCTGGATCAGAACTATATCAATGTAAAGAACCAAGTCATCAAGGCAGAGAGAAGAATCTTAAAAGAGCTGGGTTTCTGTGTACACGTGAAACATCCTCATAAGGTACAGTTAGTAATTACAGTGTATGATTCCCATCCATGTGAAAAATGTATCAAAGTTTTGCCAATATATGTATGTCAACCAATTCAGCATAGGCTGTTCTTCAAAAAGTTCACTTTTACTACCATCACCATTCACTTTTCAATTGTAATATTACTATTCACTAGATGTTTAATTGTTACCTATTTAGTCTATTGGACAAATCAACCAATGTAAGAATGAAATGACTAATACACAAGCAGAGGTTCTTTGTATGTATCTAATGAGCAACATATTTCAAACAGCAAAGTGAAAAAAAATCGATAAACGTGAATAAAAAGACAAGCCGACAAGTTGGCAGTTTCTCTGTGAACTTGAGGTTTTACAAAAGGAACAACAAAGTAAATATTTGTACATCATATTCTCATCTAAATCGAGTAATAATTCATACTTCTCTAAATTGAAACGGAGTAACAAATCTCAAACAACAGGAACTTCAAACCAATGTAAGAATAAAGTGACCATCATGCAAGTAAAGAGGTCCTCTGTAAACCTAAGACTTGTCTGAAGTTCCTGCTGTTTGAGATTTGTTACTCCTTAGGTTTACAGAGGACCTCTTTACTTACATCACAGTCATTTCATTCTTACATTGGTTGACTTGTCTAAATTCCTGTTGTTTGAGATTTGGTACTCCTTAGGTTTACAGAGGACCTTTTTACTTACATCACAGTCATTTCATTCTTACATTGGTTGACTTGTCTGAAGCTCCTGCTGTTTGAGATTTGTTACTCCTTAGGTTTACAGAGGATCTCTTTACTTGCATGATAGTCACTTCATTCTTACATTGGTTGACTTGTCTAAAATTCCTGTTGTTTAAGATTTGTTACTCCTTAGGTTTACAGAAATCTCAAACAACAGGAACTTCAGACAAGTCAACCAATGTAAGAATGAAATGACTGTGATGTAAGTAAAGAGATCCTGAGGTCCTCTGTAAACCTAAGGAGTAACCTCAAACAGCAGGAACTTCAGACAAGTCAACCAATGTAAGAATAAAGTGACCATCATGTAAGTAAAATTTGTTACTCTTTAGACTTACAGAGGACCTCTTTACTTACATCACAGTCACTACATTCTTATGCTGGATGACTTGTCTGCTTGCATCTATTCTTATAATATGTATATTCCCCAGAACATAATATTTTCATGTACATTTTTGAGCTGATTGGCTTGTGTGTAGTTAGATTTACACTCATCAGTTATATAGAGATTTAATAGTGTTAGTAGAAATTCACATTTCAAATTTTGTTTAAAAATCTTTTGATTTAAATTTCTTGTGATATAATGAAAATTATGTTTAGTAAAGGTTTTGTGTAGCTATTCATACGTTAGCCAGTCCACGTTTATGGTCTGCAAAGTAGGAAAAACGATGAAATAATGATGATTAGAAGAGTTAATAGCGAGGCTACTGTTTTTGCCTGTCCCAGAGAATTTAGATAAAGATCGTGGTATAGAAGAAGTTTTTCTGTAGAGACAAAAAGATCTCTGCTCTTTAATTTTTTATCCATTAGTAGGTTGTTTATGATATAATAAATATTTTTAACTTTTGTTCCTGATTTTTAATTTGCTATACGATGTAGTTTTGATGATCAGATAATTAGTTTGTGCTATGGAAACATGCTCTGATTTTTCTGAACTTGAAAAGTATGGGTTCTGAACTTTTTTCCTGGAATAATGTAAAATGTGTGTAGAATTGACAATTCCGAATTAAACAAGTTGACAGTTGTTTCTTGTGTTAGTACATAGGAACATGTCACTAATTCAGAAAGTGGCTCCTCTTTCAGAACATTCTTTGATGAAGGTTTTGTGGGAGTTGAGCTGAGGGGTCTTTCTTGTGTGTCTGACTTAACAATAACATTGAGTATCATTGTTTTTTAGATTATCGTCACTTTTCTTCAAGTTCTGGACTGTGAGAAGAACCAGAAATTGATGCAAACTGCATGGTAAGTTTTGGTTCTCATATCTGCATGTTTTGGTTTTAGTAACTTGTTTATAAAGTTCTTTGCAATAGATTGAATCCAGGACCAAGAGCTGGTGTGTCAACTGTCTCTCCTCAGAGTATTAGAATTTCTGCTCTTAAGATTAGAGGTGCAGTATTCATGTTTGTCAGTTTTAAAGTTGAGCCTGTTCATTATTAGTGTCTGGTTTTCCGTTTATGAATTTGTTTTCAATAAGTGTAGGGCTGAAATCAGTGCATTTTATCTATCTTGAGTAGCCTTACTGTATAGTTCACATTGTATCCTAACATTTCCCCCCCACAAGGCTATTGTTTAAAAGTTTCCTTCTTCAGAGACATGTGTTAACAAATATATATTCTTAATCTTCACCTAACAGAGCTTAGGTGAGTACCTAAGTCTGCCTGGACCCACCACCAGGACTCGGCTCGGCTGATTCTCCAACCCACCCAGGGCACTCCTGTCAAGAGGGCCAGCTGCTCTAAACAGACCAGCGGTGTTACATGTAAACACTGATTGTACTTGTGCTGTTAAACTAAGTACTAGTTGAAAGTTTTAACGATATACGAAAAGGAGATTGAAAATGTAAAATTATCATCAGTCATAAAGATATTTATGTCAAAGTTGTATTGTTTTTCCTATTAATGGATGGTAAATATCAACAGTCTATAGTTTGTGTAAAATTTTGTTTAGTGAATATGTATATGTGAACACGAGGTTTGAGGTTTAAATTGTGTAGTAGTAGTAGTAGTAGTATTGTGTAAATAACTTTTAGATGGAGTTGGTGAAGTAAGACAGTACTGGAAAAATAGTGTTTTTTAAATTTCTTCAGTGGGCATAGTATCAGTCCAGGCAACAAATATATCTGACAATTAACATCAGTTGTGTGTGATAATTTTAACAGTCTGTTTAGAAAGTTTCAATTTAGACCATAAAAATTGTGTTGGAAGTTTATATCCAAATTGCTCTTCAAGATGTATGCTTATTTAATGAAAGTAATGAATCACCTTTAGATTACCTTAGATGATGTGTTTTAGTACAACTATTGTTTAGGATTAAAGAAAGATTAGCTCAGGATTTACCTGTTTTTTAATAATAATCAGTGATAAAAGATTAGCAACTTGGATTACTAAGTTTATGTGTAGTGGAATCACCTTGAGATTAGCTCAGGATTTACCTGTTTTTTTAATAG